ATCCTTTGTCTTCCAATACCACCAACTCAAATAATGTTAGCACTTTTAATTTGAGTGAAGTCCTTGCTATGAACAACCAAGGACAAAAGAAACCATTTAGGAGGCACTTAACTCCTATTGGTATGAGTTATAACACCACATTCGATCAACTGAATGCAAAAGGTCTTATAACTCCTATTGGACCATTTGGGGACCCACCACTTGAAAAGAGGACAGCTAATTGGAACCCCAATACACAGTGCAAATATCACCAAGGTAGGGGCCATCTCACTGAGAATTGTTGGAAGCTTAAGGAAGCTATCGAAGTTTTGATTGATAACAATAAACAACCATTGCCCCCTGCAAGTAAGAAGCCAAGCATCAACAATGCACCTCTCTCCGAATCCTTGGCCATCTCTGATGAGGAAAATCATGTTAATCCCTCATCTCTCATCAAACCTGTCGAAGAAATTCATGCTATCGAAGAAGGAGGAGGAAACCTTTTTTGATGCCATGGATGACTTTCCAGAACAAGAAACTAAGGAAGAAGTGCGAATTCTTATATGGTCAATGTGGGAGGGAATAAACTTACTATGTGAAGCTATTGAATCAGCAAAGAAACAAGGAGAGGAACTTCAGAGCAAGAATGCTAAAATTCCACCCATGAAGAAGAAAACATTCCCTCTCCAAGTAATTGACACACCTAAGAAGAGTAATAAACTCTATACTCTAATTGGGACCTTCAATGCTAAAATGTTCAAGATGGTCTCCGAGAATGGTAAGGCCAAACCTCTCGAACCGAGACCATTTGAATCTCTAAAAAGGACAGACAGGTTCTACTGTCCATACCATCAATCAGAAGGACATACCGTTGAAAACTGTTTTAAATTTAAAGATTTAATTTAGAAGATGATTGAAGATAAAAAGCTAGTTCAAATCCCACAGGAAGAAGACATAAGCATTAATGGGGTTTGGGACAACGATGATAAAGACTTCTACCTTAAGGATATGGAAGTACCTTCACTTTCAATGTCATATTCAATAGGTGTTTTTTGGGATGAAGATGATTCACCCATAGACGTCCTCACAAGATCCGGGAGAATGCAACCTCCTATCTCTACACAACCCATGCGTACCGTGCAGCAAGTTCCCATACCCATTATAGAAGACAACGACATTGTCAAGAAATTCAAAAATACCAAGGTTGAAATGAACGTATGGAAACTTCTAGCTACGTCTCAAGAACATAGGCTAGCGGTAATGAATGCCTTGGATAAGATAAGGATAGATTCCGACACCACTCCTGAGGGGTTGGCTTACTTCCTTACGAGTGATCTCCCTAGTTCTATCAAATTGATCACTTTTTCGGACAAAGATTTACCTCTAGAAGGTGACAAACATTACAAGGCACTAAATCTCACAATAGCTTGCAAGAGGAATTGATGAGTGTCATTTATGGCACTCATTTGATTCTTTATAGGGTGAATTTCATGTTATTCTATAGCTCTTTTACTTAGCCTTTCCTTAACTTTACTCTTTATTTCTTTTAATTTGCATTTTCTTTGTTGGATTTCATTCTTTATGCATTTCTTGGTTTATTTTGTTATTTTCTCTTTTATTTGCTTGTTTTCCATTATTTTTCAGGTTAAGGTCGTTATCAAAGTTTCCTGAGGCGTCTTCCCAAGTTTTTCATTGATTAGGATGTCTAATGTTCTCCATTTGAAGCTCAACCATGTAGAAGTGCAAGTTCCTAAAGTCCTTGAGCTGTGGATTCAAGCCGTGGGGGCATGATTTCTAATATTAAACTCGCAAACATGGATTTTAGAAACTTTAAGGTCCCGTGATTATCAAGAGAATTAAATGGAACGCACGAGGAGCATCGGCATGATAGGGAAGAAGGATTCCCTGTTCCCAGGCGCGGGCGCGCGCGGCTATGGCGCGGCCGCGCCTGTCTAGGTCTCAGTTCCTTACATAGATTTGCGCGGTCGCGCTCTCCCTTATAGTTGGCCGCGCCTGTATTGGTTTATTTGGGGACGATCTAACCAACTTCTCTTAGTTAGTTTTACTATATATAGATTTTCTTTCTATTTTTAGGGGGGGGGAATGAAATTAGAAAATGTGATTAGAATTAGAATTAGAATAAGAATTTAAGAGAGAGAAACTCTATATTGTAAAGAGAGAAGTTCTTGATTGATGATTGAAGATTGGTAAGTCTAGCATTTTCTCCATTGAATGGAAGCAAGTTTGTAAGGATTTCTTTTACTATGCAATCTTTAGCTGATCATTTCAATTGCTTTGTTTATTGTTCAAGTTTGAATTGAATTTGTGATCGAATTAGTTCTATTGATATGATGATGATGAAATTGTTGATTAGCTTAGTTTTGATCTTAATTTCAATGGATTGTGAGTAGTTCTCTTGCTAGGGGAATGGTGAAGCATGTATGAGTAATAGATTGATGCTAATTGGGGGAAATTGATGGAGTTGATGTCTGTGATTAAATTGGTTGATGGATTAAGTGCATGTGTGTGCTTAATTGAAGAGTAGATAACTTTTATTGTTACACTATAATGCATTGTAAGCTTGCATTAATACGGAAAATTGATTTATGGCTTGCTTTTGTCAATTGAGTAGGTTTGCAAGGTTCCTAGTTAGAGTCTCTCGTAGTTGGCGCTAGCTTGACCTCTTGGAGATTAGCTTACCTTACTCTCTTGATTGCTTAATTGATTTTCCCTCGCGACACTTGACTTAATCATCTCCAATCCCAATTAGCTATATCCATTCCGAGTATATGCGGATCCTAACCCTAGTGCTTGATAAATTTGATTTCATTATGATTGTTTGATTGTTTTGAATTTACACACCTCACTTTATTGCTTCGAAATAGCTTAGCCTTGAATTTAGCATTAACCTCCCATTTCTAGTGGTTCGACCCAAGACTCACTCTATGCTTTGACTTTAGCATTCATCTACCATTCCTAGATTACAAATTTTGTTTTGACCAAGGGTAGTTTAGTTTTCAACGACATAGTCTCACCTTAGATAAAAAAGTGGCGCCCCGGGGAATGGCGTAGATGATTGCTTTTGTTATTGAGTCTATTTCACTTAATCTCAAAATACAAAAACATTTTTCTCTTTAGGCTACATTTGTAGCCGTGCTATTGATATTTGCTTTGAGTTTTTGTATGCATAGGATAACAGGAAGAAATTTAATGCCATTTGATCCGGAAATCAAGAGAACAATAACAAGGATAAGGGTTGCTAATCGTTTTTTGAGTCCTAGCTCTCCAAGAGAAGAAATTCACCAAGAAAGAGAAGAAGAGGATCAAGTAAGCATGGGAGATAATCCAAGAGTTTCTTTGAAAGAGTTGGGAACTCCCGGTGCATATAGGTTTGAAAGTGGGTTTCATTGCTAACCACACCGGAAAATGACTTTGAAATAAGACCGGCCATGATCACTTTGATCAAAAGGATAAAATTTAGTGGGGCTAAGATTGAGATCCCGCTAAACCATCTCAAAGAGTTCGAGAAGTATTGTAACACTATTAAAGTGAATGGTGTTTCTCAAGAGTTTATCCGGCTCAAGTTGTTCCCCTTCTCTCTCAAAGGTCGAGCCTTGGAATGGTAAGACAAGGAGGTCAAGAAAAATTCTCTTAGAACATGGGATGAAGTTACCAAGGAATTCTTGTCGAGGTTCTACCCCTAAAAGAAAACGGCGGAGGCAAGGACTATCATCCAAAGTTTCAAGCAAAAACCTAGTGAAAGCTTGTATGAATCTTGGGAAAGGTATAAGGAGTATCAAAGAGAATGTCCCCATTATGGCATCCCAACCTGTCAAATCATTCATATTTTTTATGGAGGGTTGAGTTTTCAAGGCAAATTGTGTCTTAATGCGGGAGCCGGAGGCCCAATCATGAACAAAACCGAAGAAGAGGTTGTGGACATTATAGAAGATGTGGTATGCCAATATATGGATTAGCAAGAAGGAGAAAGAGAGTCTTCGAGCAAGAATGAATAAACGGTTTATTCAATTGATCACCCTAATGCCATCAACAACCTATCCTCTCAAATTGCACGTTTGGGGAAGGAAATGACAACAATCAAGGCCAAGCTTGAGAGTGAAACTTTCGATGCACAAGGTCATCCCTCCCACATTAAAGGGAGAGGTACATCTTCTAAATCTACTTCTCCTTCTACTTCTAACAATATGCCCAATGGATGCTTATTTTGTGATATTTGTGGGTCTTATGACCATGATGCTTCTACTTGTTCAAATGGGTTTGAAAATCTTGATGATGGTGAGAATAGTGAAAGTGAACATGTGAATTTTGTCTCAAACAATAACAATGGTCAAAGGTTTAATGGACTAAGAAACTTTGGAAATAGAAATTCTCACCAACAAGATGGATTTGATAACTATAACAATGGTAATTATAGGAATCAAGGGAACCAAGGTTTTCGAGGCAACTATAATAACCAAGGTTATGGTAATCAAAACCAAGTCCAAGGGTATGGAAATTAAAGCCAATTTCAAGGCTTTGGTGGCCAAAACAAAAATTTTGGCAACAATCAAAACCAAGGCAATTGGAACAATCAAAATAGGGGGAATTTTCACAACAACCAAAGGGGACCCCTACCCGGATTTGGTCCAAAATCTCAAGGTGTTGGTGAAAATTCCTATTCTCAATCGTCCAAGTCCAATTTGGAGGAGATAATTGAAAATCAAACAAAAATCTTGAATTCCTATATGGCGGTGAGCGATAAGAAATTTATTGAGATCATGACACATAACAAAATGCTTGATACACAAATCACACAACTAGAAAACACTTTGAAAGATTGTGCTAGCCCAACTTCATTGACTTCTCAAGGAGTTGATCCTAAGAAACCCGTTTATTCCATCACCACAAGAAGTGGAAGAGTTCTTGAAGATAGTGTTTCTAGGGATTGTGAGGAGGACAAGAATAATAGTGTTTCAAGTGAGCAAAAATAGGAAGATGTGTCAAAATATGTGAGCAAAGAAATGGGCCATGAGAAAAAGACGATTATTGAGAGAAAGCAAGAGGATGTGAGAAAACCCGACCTTCCATATCCCCAAAATTTTATGATGAACAAATTAGGTGAACAATTTGGGAGATTTCTTGAAATGTTGAAGGAGTTCCATCTTTCTATCCCTCTTACCAAAGCCATGACCCAAATGCCTAGATATTCAAAATTCCATAAGGATATCTTGAGTGGCAAGAGAGATTGTAATGCGATAGATTCGGTAGATCTTGGTGAGTGTTGTAGTGTTTTGATCCACAATGACCTCCCCAAGAAGATGAAAGATTCGGGTAATTTCTCCATTCCTTGCAAAATCAAGAGTAAGTTGTTTGACAATGCTTTGTGTGATTTTGGTGCTAGTGTGAGCATAATACCCTTCTCGGTTTTAAAGAAGCTTAAGCTAGGAGAAATTCTTCCAACCAACATGACTTTGTAATTGGCGACAGGTCTATCAAGTTTCCAAAGGGAAGAGTTGAGGATGTTCCGCTTAAGATAGGTGGTTTTACAATTCCCGTTGATTTCATTGTGCTTGAAATAGAAGAAGATGACCACATTCCTATTATCTTAGGGAGACCGTTTTTAGCTACTTTGGGAGATTTGATTGATGTTTAGGGAGGCCATATTACTTTGAGTGTTGGTAACAAGAAAGAGAGCTTTGAGCTAAAACCAATGCATGAGTCCTTATCCCTTGTGAAAGGAATCAAGAGTGATGATTCCCTTCGTTCATTATTCTTCATCTAACAATGTTCATGATATTTTTGATGATGTGCTTGTGAGTTTGGATTTCATAAAAGTAAGTGAAGATAAGAAGGAGCTTTCAAAGGCTATGAACGAAGAGGAGATTGACATTCCTCATTGGTTTGAGCTCTACCCTTAAGAGGAGGAGGAGGATTCCATGGATGTAGATGGTGTGAAACCGTCTACAAAAAGAAACAAAGTCAAGAAGAAAGCAATAGCTTCGAGGAAGAAGAGAATGAGATTGAAGTTGAAAAATGAAAAGATTGTTTTTGATGTGCAAGAAAGTGAAGTCTTGTCAAGCAACAACGAGAGGTTTCTTAAAAATGAAGGAGAAGTTGTTCTATCCACTACCTTGGACAAGGTGGTGTTTTTTGACCCTCCATGATTTGGAGGAAGGGTCGAGCTTAGGACCTTAAGCAAGCGCTTCCCGAGAGGCAACCCGAAGATTTCTAACCTTTTCTTTTGATTTCTATTTTTCTTAATTTTCTTTCTTTTAGTTTCTTTTCTTTTCTTTCACTTTTTTTTCTTTTGGATTTATAGGTTGAATTCTTGGAGTTGGATTACATTAAGTGAGAACGAGCAATGGAATGGTGTTTTGTGGTTTTTTGTTTTTTTGATGTGTTTATATTCAACTTTATTGAAATTTTTAGGTAAAAGGGGTAAGAATTGTTAGCAAGGTAATATAGGAAATTTGTGCTTAAGTATGAAGATAATTTGAAATTGATGAGTTCATCGTTGTGCTACAATTATTTTAGGGGTTTTTAACCCACATTCTTCTTATTTAGAAACTAATCGTTATGATGGGGTAAAAAATCATGGAATTATAGTTATCGAAGCACCCACGCATGAACGCACCAAGGAGAAGTGCATGAGGGGCATCAGCTGGCGCAGGCGCGCTGCCAGGTCGCGCGGCCGCGCACCCCCCTTGCCGAGCTTATCTTTTCTATCTTCTTCTTTCTTTTCCCTCATTTCCCCTTCACCCTCATTTCTCACGCACTCTTAACCCTTCACCCTCATCTGCACCGCACCATGTCCTTACTCACTTTCATATATTTTCTCACAAATTCCTTCAAATTTCCATTACAATTCATCAAATCCCCTTACAATTCTTCCAGTTTTCAACAAAATTCATACTACCTTTCATCCATAACAACCACCACTCTCTCTCCTCCATTGTTAAAGCTAATTTGGGAATTTTAGTGTGGGTGGAAATTGGTTGTTAAAGCTTGCTCTAACTTGCTTCTTGTATGGTATAATCATCTACTCTTACTCTTAATTGCTTTATTATAGCATATAATTGCATGTTTTAGGTAGTTCATGAGTATGAATAGTAGTAGCATGTATTTTTGAGGTTTTGATGGTTGAAATTGGATTTTGGTTAGTTATTTGTGATGATGATGATTGATTATTTCTTACATTGTGTTGTTTGTTGTTTGTGTAGCTAGATTGATTGTAATTGTTGAGACTTGTTGTGGTCGGATTTTTGGTAATTCTACATTGATAATGTTGAGATTTGATTCTTGGTTCCTTTGTGCTTGGTGTATGGTTTGAATGCATTTTTTGGCTTGAATTAGTGGTAATTGTGTACATTTGGGATTTCTCGACTTTGGTAGTGAGTTGTTGCTTGTCGATATTAGCAAAGGAGTTTGTTAAGGCATTCTAGATTGTTGGTTGGAGTTTCTTGTGGTGATTGTGGTGTATTGAGTTACTACCTTTGAAAATTCATCATGTCTAAACACATCAAAAACCTCTTCAAGAAATGAAAAACCAATGTCATTATTGAAGAACCCGCTCCTTCTCCCTCTACCTCACAACCTCGTCAACCTACCCCTATCCCCGAACTTCGAATTATCGACCCCATTCAAAAATCTAGATACACCAAACTCAAAGCAAACCGTTCCCTCAAACCTTCCCGACACTACTTTCAAGCGGACATGATTAAGTTAGGAATTGAAGAAGATTTAAGGGAATTGCTTAGCAACCTTCGCATGGGATCTTTTGTGAGCGTGAGCTTCCGTACCTATGTTCAATCGACTATGGAGTTCTTGGCCACGGTTGATCTTATGCTGGTCGAGGGTGGTTTCTACCGTATCCGATTTCAGCTCTTCAACATTCAATTTGATCAATCCCTAGAAGAGTTCAATGCGGCTCTAGACTTCGATCCAAATTCAGATATTTTGGATCCCGAGCTCTTCTTCAATGATGAATATGATCAAAATTCCTGGTAGGCCAATATTTCTAGATGTGGTGACTTTGAGACCTGGTATGCCAAGATTAGTAAGGTGTACCAGCCATGTCTCCTGGTTCTCCATAGGCTTTTGGGATATTCGGTGTTTCCGAAGCAGGAATCGGGAAAGATGAGCCAGTTGGAACTTCGGATTCTATGGGTGGCTACTCGTGCGGAGTACCGGGGTCGCCTAAATTTTGGGTATACTTTTTTTTAGGGGATTTTGGGGTATACTTTTGCTAGCTATTGCCAAGGATTGCAAGATAGGGATTCCGGCGAGATCCCTAGTGGGAGCATGGTCACAAGGCTAGTGACCAACCTTGAGCTCGGGCACTATTTTCCATCTTGCACTCCAATGGGGGATGTTGATTCTTTCTACCTCGACGTTCGGCAATTGAAGCAAATCCAATTCTTAGCAAAGAATGATGAAGACGAGGTGTTTGATTGGCTAGGGGATAAAGAACATTACTGCTATCTCCCTAACCCCTCCTTGACTTCTCTCCACCGCAAGAATGTGGCAAGCATTTGGAAAGTCTCCAAAAGTCACCACCTTCCCTACTATGATGATGATGAGGAGATGAGTGAAGAAGATTAAGTAGACCCGCAACAACAACAACAACAATAACATCAAGGGCAACATCGCCAATTTGCTAACTTCGACTTGGATGCCCTTAGTGCTCAAATGAAGGGAATGCAAATCCGGTTGGAAGGCATGTATGATCAAGATTTTGAGGCCATCTATTCTCATATGAGAGGGATTTCGGAGATGCAAAAAGGTATGTTTCTCCAACAACAACATTTGTATGATGCGGGTGTTGACCGGGGAGACATCACTCCCCCGTTTAACTACCCTTACTTTCCACCCCAATATGGTCCCATACCATCTTTTGGGGGTGATGGCGTACCCACGTACCCATATTGGCAAGGACCCCTGGGGTCCAACACTGAGACCCGCTCATTCCCCGATGAGCACGGTAACTATGATAACCGTGTTCCCGGTGGGAGCGACTATAGGGGTGAACCTAACTACCCCTATGTACACCCCGATCACCCACTAATGCTTGCCTTGCCTGAGAAATTCACTCCCCTTGCCCCTTGGAAACAAGATAACTTTAGGGGACATTATGGTTAGTCACCCGGTTACACCGGGGGATGGGATCCTTATGGTCCCCCATCCGGGTTTTCCTATGATGGGAATAACAATGATGGCTCCGGGCCGAGTGGTAGTGGTAGCTAGTTCCCTCATTTTTGTTCCATGTGCCTCCATCCCTTGTCTTATGTGTGCTTGCTTTGTATTGTTGGGATGTTGAGATGTATCTCTGATTAGCTTGGGGGAACTTTTCCTTTTCTTAGGTGTTTGTGTCGGTGGCCAATTTGTTGTTGAAACTCACCTTGTTTCTTTTGCCTCTTTGTGTGATGATCTCTTTCTTTGATGATGTTTGCTCATTCTTGATCTTTTTGTTGTTGTAATGATGATGCGTGATTTTCTCCCTAGAATCCAAACCCCTAATATCCAAATCCCATGAATCTAAACCCTTGAATCCAAATTTTGTAGTTTAGTACTTTGTTAATTAGTTAGATGTTTATTTGGTTCTTTAGTTCTTATTTTCTTACTTTTTTTTTTCTTTCATGATAGTTTAGTTTTCCTTATTTTTGCCTTTTGTTTTCTTTTCTCTTCTTTTGTTTTCAAGTCATTAACCGTTTCCTTTGTCCATAGTTCTCTTTTCCATTTTTGTTCTTTTATGGCTTTGATGCTGATGCTTTATTTCTTGGAGCTTCATGAGGTGGTTGATTCTTCACCTTACTATTTTAGCATTGCTCGGATGCCGGTGAGATCTTTCTTATTTTTCTTAATTCTCTTTTATTTTCATGGATGCATAGTTTAGGATTAGTTTTAGGAAAAGTTGAATGGTTCGAGGATGGATGATTTTCACACCTAGAGTGTTTTGGATCATTGGAGATGTTTTCATTTGATCACTTGTTTGTCGATTGGGAATTACATGTTTTACTCGCATATTTGTTCCATTCATTATTTTCCTTCTTTTCCTTCATCTATGTTTTTCTTTTTATCCTTTCTTATCTTTTATTTTTCTTTCTTCTTGTTTTTGGATTTTTGTATGTTTTGAGGCTTTATTTTTCACCTTTTGTTTTTCTTTTGAATTGGACTATATACAACAGATTTTTGCTATTGACTGAATATCTTCCTAAATGGTATGGGTGTGCATGGTTTGAGAATATGCTTGGCTGACTCTAGGATGGGTGTATGCTAAGGTAGCATGTTCTAGAACTAGGAGGATCTTGAAACCGGATTCTACTTGTTTGTGGCATGTTGGTAGTTGTTTTCTATAGTCGATTTGACACCTATAGTGAGTTTTTGCTACATCCATGTGAGGTTCATCATTTTTCAAGCCTTCTACATATTTTGCATGAGTGGCATGGATCTTTGACTATTGCGGACCTAATCTTGAATC